AGCAGAACTACAAGAGATTTATTGGAAGAAGTGCCTGTGAAGGATAAAAGGGACATGGAGCAGGAGAAGGTGGGATAGTCTTCAAACATGGTGCAGATCTGACACCGAGGAAGGGAAAGGGAGAAGGAAGAATGATTTGGGGGAAGAGCCTGGTATTGGAGTGCAAGTCAGAGAAAATCCCAGTCAGGCTAATGGGAAGCCCCAGAACAAAGATTGCTCACTAGAGGAGATCCACATTGGTAGGACTGGCAGCTCTGTAAGCCTGTGCTCAGTCATAGAACCCCCCATGCTCTCAGTCAGGGGGTGCTCAGTCTAGTGTCCCTTGTGCTGGAAGCAGCCTGGGGAGATGGCTCCTGAAGACAGCAGCTGGAGGCCTGAGCCGCACGTTCCCATGGTGGTCACAGGCTCTCTCTTTGAGCTATTCATGACCTGTTTACTAATGTACTGTAAAGTGTGGGCAGGGTGTTATGATGACCCCAAGGTGGGATATCCTCTGCAGCTTCCTGGGATAGAAACCATTTCCTGGCAGGGCTGAGCAGGTTGTACACTGAATAAAGAGACCCTGCCAATGTGAGGCTAGTTGGGAGGAGGAAGGATTGAAATACAGAAGTGTGAACTTTGCTGTTTTGGCCCAGAGAGATACCACTTTCTAATTCAACCACTCAGAGAGACATGCTTTTTTTAACTGCTACTGTACTGTGGTAAAACAACATTGTGTAGGACTGCAGAATCTGAGACAGTTTTGTCCTTTTAGCTTCAGTGAAGCTTACTTATGTACCTCCATTAAGAAACTGTTTGCCTACTGTCCACAGCTAGACAGAGGAAGTCCTTTTTTGTCTTAAGAGGAAATACTGTTTTCAGGTGCTTATTTACTGGTACCAGAGAGATAACTGGGGCAGGAATAATAAGTCATCCTGGTCTCATCATTAAAGTAGGACTCTTAAGGCTCTCCACAGAGCACTGCTTGTTGACTTGTATTTGTAATCGATAGGTTCTATAATTCTGGGTCATTACTAATTCTTTGTAATGAATCCAAATTAGTGTGGTTTAATTCAGAGGAAAGGGTGCTGAAGTCAGGTCCTGTAGAAACTCTGTCCCCAGGCTGACGGCTGGCTGCTCTGGACTAAACCGGCCCATCAAGGGCCTGTGGCAAGTGCTAGACAGCCCCTGGGGCCCCTCTCTTCCAGTGACAGAGGCTGAGGGGCAGGGTGATTAGTGGAGGGTGGTGAAGGAAGTTACAGACCTTTTTCTTTTTTCTTTTTAACCAGGAATTATTAGCCGAGAAGATGCAGAAGATCTACTTGAGAACATGACTGAGGGAGCATTTCTGGTTCGGGTCAGTGAGAAAATCTGGGGATACACCCTCTCCTATCGCCTGCAGAAAGGGTTCAAGCACTTTCTTGTGGATGCCTCTGGGGATTTTTACAGCTTCCTGGGAGTGGACCCCAATCGCCATGCCACACTCACCGATCTCATTGATTTCCACAAGGTAGCGCTCTTAGAGGTACTGGTCAAGGGGATGAAGCTGGTAGAAACTTCAGCTGAAGGGAGAGCCAGGCTGCAGGCCTTCTGAAAGATGGGGATGGAGAGTGAGCAGGCAGGGCCCCAGGGACATGGACCATTGGGATAGAAGGGACCAGAGGTTGTCTAGACCAGGCAAAGTAGGTCTTCTCTCTGGCTTACCCTCTGACCCATGTAAGCACCTCAAAGGGTCTCTAGCCCTTCTCTTTGAGTACATGAGTGCCTGAGTCAGCACTTAGGGGCTGGTCAGCCAGCCTTCTGTCCAAGACCAGTTCTCATCCTCAGGATATCTCTCTTGGGGGTCCGTCTAGAAAGGCCTCTTGCAGCTTTGTAGAGGTAGTTGAAGGCTAGCAAGCAAACCTGAGGTTAGAGAGGCTTTCCTCATAGAGTTACTATATCTCTTGTTCCAACTATAGCTTTACCACTTTATACATGTGTGACCTTGGGCAGATTCCTTAGTCTCACTGAGCTTTAGTTTCCTAGCTGGGCAAATGGATGTAAATGATACTTAGCTCAGATCCTATGAGTATTAAATGAGAGAAAGTATGTATTCAACAACAGCACTCTAACTCTAAAGTGGTATGGAAGTTCTTATCTCCCAGAACTCTTTTTGTTATTTGTTCTACTACTGTGGGCCTCACATTGAAAAAGATGTTGCCTTCTAAATAATTTATGTAGAAAGAAGTGATTTCTGTGTTAATGTGGCTGTTGGCATCAGTAGTAACTTGGAGAGACAAAAGTGGAACTTGGTGACTCAGAAGGGCAGGACCCAGGGGTTCCAAGATATAGAATTGTGGTAGCTCAGAGGTCCAACATGTACCTGAGCTTTGCAAGTGTAGAAAAGGTCCACAGGACTACTTGACTGCCTTATTGGGCTTTTGCTATAATAGGGACTTTTGGATTTGTATTGCTTTTACTTCAAGGATGTCCACAGAACTCTAGGGATAACTATTAACCTGATCTTTTAAGTACATAGAAAATCACCCACTTACAAATACCTAGACATTTGGAGGAGAGGACTTCCTGGAAAACTAGACTAACCAGGACCAAGGCATTTTGGAAAGGACCTTCTAACAGCTATAGGAAAAAGAAAGGGAGGGATTGTGTGGATATTGGCAACCTCTCTGTGTCAAGCACTGTGCCTGTTGGTCTGTTCCCATGTTCTCATTTAATTTTCACCATAGCTCTGTGAGGGAGGCACATTAGTCCCATTTCACAGATCAGGAAAGGGAGATTGAGTAACTTGTCTAAGTTTTCATGGCTGGTACCAGCTGGGTCTGTGAGTTAAGCCTAGGCTGTGTGCCTCTAAAGCATGTGCTTTCCCCACTATACCACCTGACTTGCTTTTCCTGTTCAAGATAAGCTGCTTGAACAGCGGTGAGCTCTGTGTCTTTGGAGCATTAAAGCAAAGGGTAAATGTCCACCTCTTGGAGATGCTGTGGACAGATTCCTGCATAGAAAGAGCGAACCACGTATCTTTGAAGGTGTTTATTTTTTTCCAAATCTGAGGTTTAAGACTGCCAATTTAGTTTCTAACACTAAAGAGAGAGCTCATCCATGTCCTTGTAGAGGTCTGGTGGCCAGTCTTAAAAGTTAAAATTTTAATTACACAATTAATTTATGATTACATTCTAAGAAAAATCAAATATAATACAAAGTATAAGCATGGTTCATTTCAAATCCTAATTTCCATCCTCCATCTTGAATTATCAGTTTGCCATGTACCTTTCCAAGTATTTACTAGGCATTAACATAGAAATTTATGTACATAAGGAAATACATAGCATTTTATTATTTATACAAATTGGATAATCCTTTACCAATAGCTCAGCACTTTTATTTTAAACATGCTTCATGTATCATAGAATGTACTTTGTAAAAATGCAGTCCCTGGAATCAAGCTGCCAAGTTTTAAATCCCAACTTCATTACTATGTGTGACTTTGGGCAAGTTCTCAGACTCTCATGCCTTAGTTTCCTCCTCAGTAAGAGGTGTATAATAATAGCATTCACCTCCTAGGGTTACTCTGAGATTTCAATGAGATATCACTGTAAAATACCTGACATTTGTAAGATATCAGGACATTGGCTGTCATTGAGGTATATCCACATCAATCTATGTAATGAATCCTTATAAAAATATATGGTATTCCATGGTATGGATGCGTACTATAATTTAGTTATTATTCTCCTTTTGAGGGTCACTTGTGTAGCTTCCAGGTTCTCATGATCGCAAACAGTGCTGCAGAGAATTGCTTATATATGTCATTTTGGGCACAGGTGTGAGTATTTCTCTAGGATGGATCCCTTGAATTGGAATCTCTGAGTAGAAGACTATGCACATTTTAATTTGAAAATATTTGCCAGATTGTCCTCCAGGAGTGTAGTGCCAGTCCGTGCTCCTGCCAAAACTATATGAGGCTGTTTCCTTACACTGCTGCCAACACTGGAGATTACCAGTCACTTACATTTTTTTCCCATCAGATGGGCAGACACTGAATTTCACTGTTGTTTAACTTGCATTTCTCTTAACGCCAAGGCTCTTTTCGTTTTAATGGACACTTGGATTTTTTTCTTTGAGATGACTGTTCATATCTTTTGTCCATTTTTCTTCTTAAATGTCTCTTTCTTATTAATTGTGTCCATTCTTCCAGTGACTAAATTGCTCTTTAGTTGTGTCCATTTTGCTCTTCAGTTTTTCTATTAAAATTTTCCATGTAATTTAAATGAGCATCCTTTTTATTTCCAGGTATCTTTTTTTAAGTTATAGCCCATTCTTGTTTCATGGATGATTTATCGTCTTATTTCACTGAGGAGATTAATACATACCTCTTAAAGGCCCTTCCTGTTTGTTTTACAAACTTGATATTTTCTTGGGAGTCAGTTCTGTTGGTGACATTGGCATCTTTCTTTCATGACTATGATTTTCCTTAAATATTTATAAATTGTGAACCAGGAAGTGATCTTTCAACTTTGAATTTCTTATATCTCCATCAGTGGATGCAGTTCCTGTTTCCTAAATCCAGTCTCTTTATGCTGTTAAGGTTGGAGATGATAGGGAGTAATTCATCCTTGGGAATGAGAGTTCCTGAATTTTGTGGGTCTCTGTGTGCCCTTCCTTTCCTTCTGCTCTGCCTGAGACAAAGACCTCTATTGTGTGGGGTTCCCCAACCTGTCCCACTGATAACTTGCTGTAGCCCCTGTCCCACATTAACTTCTCTGAAAATCTCAGCCTGTATATCTTTTGGTTTTCAAGTATTCCTCAATATTTTTGCTCTGTTGCTGGCTTCTGTTGTTTTACCATACTTTTATAAATTTATTTATTTTTAGAAGCAATTTTTTTTTCTGTGATTTTCTAGGAATTTTAGTGAGCAGTAGGCAGATACATATTCTTAGTTTTTCTCTCAAACTGGTTTCTCTCTGGTGGATGTTATTTCTTTTTTAAAAAATTTTAAGTGAATATTTCCATTTTTTTTTCAGGAGGAAATTATCACTGTTTCAGGGGGAGAGTTGCTGCAGGAACCCTGCGGACAGAGGGAGAGCCCACCAGACTACCATCTGTTGTTTGAATGACTTTTCCCCCCCTTATCCATTGGATTCTTTTGGGCATTTTTTTTTTTGAACTCAAGAACTTCTCAGCTCAAATTATTATGGCCTTCTGGAAGATTCACCACCATTCAGAGGATTAAGTAGCTTCAAATGTCTCAAGAGATGTGAAATATATGACATATGTGCTACTGGTCCTTGTCCCAGTGCCCAGGACAGAAATTCTTAATTGTTGATGCAGATCTTTCATGGAGAATTTAGATATGACCTCAGAAGACAAAGCTTATTTTTTGCAGCTGCTCTAAACTCAGCTCCTAGAGCCCATGCATCATGTTTTTATAATCCAAAGTAATTCCAGTGCTGAACACTGAATTTAACATGCGATGTCCATTCAATAAATGTTTGTTGAATGAATACACTTCTGAAAGTTTCCAGCATCAATCCATGACTTCTAGTAAGTTACTTCCTATTTGTCACTGTTTATGTAGCCATGGAGATTATAGAAGATATATTGTAAGGGACTTATGTGGAAAATATAGATGCCATGTCTTTAATAATGCTCATCATCACCCTTATTGACAGAATCACTGGAATTACTAAGGCTTCTGAGCCCCAGCTTCTGGAGCAGGTGACTGATACTGCTCCACCTCTTCCTCTGCCACCCTTTTGTCTGAAGTTATATCTTGGTCCTCACTTTGCACTATTGAGGCAGTGGTTATATGTATTCCTACAGAGGTGCCCCGAACCAGGGGTGAATTATAATTTAAGAATGGTTTGCAGGCCGCAGGTTACTCAAGTGATTACCTGTGCCTTCATAGTCCTTAGATTTTTGATTCTACTACTGACTTAATTTGAGTATGTCTTTCTGTTAAGAAAAGACTCTCCCAATAACTTCTCAATAACTTTCAGGAATGGTTTCTACTTGTGCATATTTAATGTCTCATGCTTACGAGCTTTCATAGAAACAGCATTGTATTTGGTAAGAATAAGAAGATAAATGGACTTTGTGGATGTAAGAGCTCTGATTTACCTTACTTGATAGTTGTATCCAACATCTCTTATGCTCTACTTCACCTTTTGCCTCCTCTGTTCCTCATATACTTGACCTCTGGTTTCACCCCATGCACTACCACTGTAACCAATTTTGCATGGGCTCTGCTCTTCCCCACTGTGTCCACAGCTTCATGTGAGCATGAGCCAATAGCACCTTGCCACGTGTGGTGCTCTGGCCTCCCCTCTGTTGTTGCCACAGAGGCATAAGACACCATGCAATGAAGAAAAGCTGGGAAGTGAACGCCCCATGCTGTGAAGCTTTATCAAAGGGAGACAGTGGTTGATAAATCAGTTCTTTTCCCTTTCTCCTCTTGGAGGGATGTTTCTTTTATTTATTTATTTATTTACTTATTGCTCAAATACATTTGTCTCCATTTTCCCCCCACCAGTTTCCCCTGCTCCACCCACCTCCACTTCCCAACCTTAATCCTTCCCCACTTTGGTTTTGTCCATGGGTCCTTTATACATGTTCCTTGATTTGACCCTTCCCCTTCTTTTCCCTGTTACCCCCCTTCCTCCTTCCCTCTCATTACTGTCAGTTTGTTTTTTCTTTCAGTGTTGCTGGTTATATTTTTCTTGCTTGTTTGTTTTGTTGATTAGGTTCCACTTATAGGTGAGAACATATGGTATTTGTCTTTAATGACTGGCTTATTTCGCTTAGCATAATGCTCTCTGGTTCCATCCATTCCATCGCAAAGGGTAGTAGCTCTTTCTTTCTTTCTGCTATGTAGTATTCCATTGTGTAAATGTACCATAGTTTTTTGATCCACTCATTTACTGATGGGCACCTAGCTTGCTTCTAGCACTTGGCTATTGTAAATAACGCTGCTATGAACATTGGGGTGCATAGATTCTTTTGAATTGATGTTTCAGGATTCTTAGGGTATAATCCCAGCAGTGGAATCGCTGGGTCAAAAGGCAGTTCCACTTTTAGCTTTTTGAGGAAACTCCAAACTGTTTTCCACAATGGCTGCACCAGTCTGCATTCCCACTAAGAATATACTACAGTTTCCTTTTCTCCACAGCCCCATCAGCACTTCTTGTTTGTTGATCTGTTTATGATGGCCATTCTGACTGATGTGAAGTGGTATCTCATTGTGGTTTTAATTTGCATTTCTCTGATGACTAGTGATGCTGAGCATCCTTTCATATGTCTCTGGGCCCTGGGTATGTCCTCTTTGGAGAAGTGTCTGTTCAGGTCCTTTGTCCATTTTTTAATTGGATTGTTTGTCTTCCTGGAGTGGAGTTGTGTGAGTTCTTTATTTATTTTGGAGATCAAACCCTTGTCCAAGGTTTAATTGGCAAATATATTTTCCCATATGGTCGGTTCCCTTTTCATTTTGTTGATTTTTTTTTAGCTGTGCAGAAGCTTCTTATTTTGATGAACAAGACAACAGCACAGAAATAATCAAGTAGATCAATGAAATAAAATGAACATTCTAGAAACAAACATATATATCTGTCTAACAATGTAATACATGATTAAGTTGATATTTCAAATCAATGGGGAAAACAAGGTTTATTCAACAAAGTGCACATACCACTGTTTCTTGAAATAAAACAAATATAGAGCCCTATTTCATACATTATACAAAAAATATTCAGGTGAGTTAAAAATCAGTATGTAAAATCTAAGGAATCTTATGAGAAAATACAAAATAATACCTTTCTTACCTTGAAGTAAAATATTCAAACCCAGAATCTATAAAGTAAAATATATGACTATATTAAATATTTAAGACTGTACACTAATATACATATAAAAAAGTTAAAGGACAAATAATAGAAAGGGTAAGTATTGGCAACACATCTATAAAAGGGTTAATAGGTTTTTATTTTTAGGGAAAAAATTCTACAAACATTTAATCAAAAAATGGATAAAGAATACCAAAAGGTCATTTAAAGCTTTTTAAAAATAATAGAAATAGGCAAGAAATATACAAAAACAGGTTTAGTTCCAACAAATAATAAAGTAACAATTAAAACATCACTGTCACAATCAGATTAACAAGTATTAAAAATATTGGTAATATCAAGTATGGGTGACTGTGAAAGGAACTGAGTATTCATAGACTCTTTTTCTTCATCTTCTTAAAGCTGTCCCTTTAGCATATTTTGCAGTGCTGGTTTGGTGGAGGTGTATTCTTTTAGCCTACTTTTGTCTGGGAAACTCCTTATTTCACCTTCCATTTTAATTAAGAGCCTTGCTGGGTAGAGCAGTCTAGGTTGCAGGCCTTTGGTTTTCATGACTTGGAATATTTCTTGCCATTCCCTTCTGGCTTGTACTGTTTCTATTGAGAAGTCAGCTCCTAGCCATATCAGGGTTCCCTTGTATGTTATAACCTGTTTCTCCCTTGCTTCCTTTAGGATTCTCTGTTTGTCTTTGCTATTTGCCATTTTAATGATGATGTATCTTGGAGTGGACCTGTTTGGGTTCCTCTTGAATGGGACCCTCTGTTCTTCTTGGACTTGTGGGACATTTTCTCTCCTCCAATTAGGGAAGCTTTCCATCATTACTTTTTCAAGTAGGTCATCCATTCCTTCTACTCTTCTCCTTCTGGTATCCCAGTTATACAGATATTTTTATGTTTCATGTTGTTCTGCATTTCTCTCAATGCCTCTTCATTGTTTTTGAGTCTTTTTTAATTTTCTTGCTCTTTTTGGGAGTTGTTTTCTACCTTGTCCTTCAGCTCACTGATTCGATCCTCTGCTTCATCTAGCCTGCCTTTGATTCCTTCTACTGTGTTCTTCAATTCAAAAATTGTATCCTTCATTTCCTCTTGTCTCTTATTGATAGTTTTTATGTCCTTTTTCATGCTGATATAGATTGCAATTAAGTTCCTCATAGTTTCCCTGTAGTTTTTGGTAATTTTCTCTGAGCTCACTGAGCTTCCTTAGAACCATTGTTTTGAACTCAATATCTGATAGTACTTGCCTCTCTTTCATTTATTTCTCTTGGTGGGGATTCCTCCTTTCCCTTCAACTGGGGAGTGTTTCTTTGTCTTCCCATTATTTGTGAGACTCTTTTTTTTGGCTTCTGCTTCTTAAATTGATCTGTCTTGATTTCCTGACTTTGTGGTGTGAACTTCTATGGTAGGAGACTGCTGCTTTTTCCTTATGGATCTGCCTCTGATGATGTCTGAAGTTGGCCCAGTCTGACCTTAGGCAGTCTGTTCAAGACTTCCAGGAATCTACTGTCTCCCGCTGTCTCCTTTAGTTGTTAATCTAATCACTCTGCTCTTGGCAGTCAGGTTTAGACTGCAGAGCCCTCCTGGGGGTGCGGTTATTTTGTCCTCTCATGCTGGTGCTGCTGAGGGGATTGGTCTGCCTAAGACAGAAGGCTGCTGCCATACTGGGGAGGAGTCTGCTGTGGGATCCCTCTGGCTGCTTTCTTTGTTCTCTTCCCAACGCCTCTGTCCCCAGACTCTCCTCAAGCCTCTCTAGACCACTCTGTGCCCCCTTTAGCCAGGGATCTACTATCTGTGGCTGCCGTTCTGTACTCAGCAGCCAGGCTCTAGCACCACCAGGACAGGACAGAGCCTCCTGGGGGCAGGGCTCTTGTTTCCTCTCATGCCAGTCAGGTGAGTGGTCTGTCTGAGAAAGATGGCTGCTGCTGTATGGGGGATGAATCAGCACTGGGATCCCTCTGGCTACTCTCTCAGTTCTCTCCCCCAAGCCTTCTTCCCCAGTCTCTCCTCAGGTTTCTCTAGCCCACTCTGCCCTTGCCTTTGCCAGAGCCCAGGGTACGTTGCAGTTAGGTTGTGCTAAAGGTGATTCTTCTGTCTGCCTGAGGTAATAAGGCTCCTCTCTTGCTATTGTTCAGTTGTTTGTTCCAGGTGATTTCTCCACAATTTAGCTGTAATTCCAGATTGGTCCTGGCAGGAGGTCAGTGTGACTTCCATTCACTCCTCTGCTATCTTGAAGTCCCATAATGACTTTTATGTCTTTGTGGATTTGATTTGCTAATATT